TTATTTTGCAAAGAACGGCGTGCCAAACGGCAGGTTTGCGTCGCTGTCTGATTTATCTCTCACTCTAGCGCTTTCTATTCGAGGGCCTCCAAACCAGTACATCGACGTTGTCGATCAGTTTCTTTTGTCGTGCAATCCTCTCAAGTGTCTGTCTATAAAAGGATCGTTCAGCATGATATCACTTCTAGAAATCCTACTTAGACACGGCTCAACCCTACGAAAGCTCTCTTTGCATGAGTCGGAAACCCCATCGCTGAAGAGACCCAGGCAGGTGCTGTCACAAATTCAGCTCGCACATATACAGAAAGTGTGTCCATTGCTGGAAGATATCGAGGTCGACATCAACCGTTCGTCTGACGGCAAGGTCGAGCAAGCGCTGTTCTCCTCACTTGCAGGACTTCCTAAACTCAAAACCGTGCAACTTTATGTCGACCTCGGAATTGCCCACATCGCAAGGTATGCAAGTTTCTCTTCTGGACAAAGACAGTACTAACTCTCCAAATCCATAGCTCACAAGATGACCCCTTGCCCCCGCACACCGAGAATCCTTTTCACCCCGAGAACCCTGGCTGGCTAGAGCGGATATGGTCTTCCCTCCAATCGGAGAAGGAGAAACAAAGCAGTGTGCCTCTGAAATATTTAGATGTGAAGATCGGAGAGACGGAACGTCTGATGGCTGGCCCCCCGGCAAGGTGGTTTGTTTGGGAGGCATCAAACCAATATAATTTGGCGGCGAGAGCTAGTGATCGTGATGATCGCCTAGACGAGATCGCCATTATTAGATCCTTGCGTGGAGGTAGTGATCTGGTAGAACAGGCCTGGGAGACGAGAACTGTGCCGTCGGGGCGGAGGTTTGGAGAGAAGTGGGAAGTGTCGGACAATGTTGGCAAGTTCGAAGAAGACCCCTCTATTGCGAGATTGGCTGCACAAAATGAGGCGATAAGGAAATCTTTTGAAGGGTGGGATTACTAAGTAAACAGAAGCATTGAAACTAGATTGCTAAGGAGAGGATGGAATTAGCAGCTTGTTTTTTGCTACAACTGATTTCACCCACTTCCCACCTCCAGCCTATGACCAACTCAAATATCCAATCCTGGGCCCGCTAGGCCACATCTTCAGCTTCTTTGGAAACAAAATTCAAATTCTCGAAGCAAATGATCGGATTTCCACTATCATCGCAGAATCCATAAACCTGCCCTGCACAGCGTCCCAGCCTGTTTACAAGGTCTCAAGGTACAGTATAGAAAAAGCGCTGCTCCATATCATTCATTTCCGCCATACCTCTTGTTTGCTGCCGGGAATTGCTTCCCGGATTTCTGATATCGCCGCAACTGGCAATCCGTACAACTACTGTTCCGCGTGTCTTGATCTCTCAAGATGCGAGGTTAACAGGTGTGTAGCACTTTCTGTATGCAAACTGGACTGGACGTGCAATTTACTTAGGTGCAAGGTAAAGATCTCTACCTTATGGTTCCCACCTTCCTGGGATGGACTCCACGTCCTCGTCAATGACTCCCAGCTCAGCTATCGGCTCCTCGAATCCCTCTAACGCAACATCTTATTATTCCTTATTATTGAGAACATATCGGAATCCGCATTCTTAGTCCTACTCATGTTTATGCAGTGTGAATCAGTCGCCTCAGTGAATCACCTATCGTGGCCTTTTTGTGTGTGCTTGGCTCTCTCTCGTTTCTATCTTTCCTTTGCATCTCTAATGTCTAGATAATCCATAGTTAACGAACCTAACTCCAAGCTCTGAGATAATATTACTTCCCGATCCAAGAATCTACGAGACATTCCGAGATGGTTCGGTTCATTGTTATAAACGTCCTCTTACTTCTCTCCAACCTCCATCGCACGCTCGCTTTCGAATCCATCGATGCACCCTCGTTCATCAATTGCAGCGATGAGTTGAAGATAGCGATCAACAACGACCTTGACAAAGGCGCTCAATCATACGACCGAGAATTCGACAGCTTCCGCGTCTTGCTCTCCATCAGCTACAGCGGAAACTTCAAGGCAGTCGGACCCACCTGCTCCCTGATCTCCAACGCCACCATGGGAACCCGTGGCGTCGGCGGCAAACTGCCCATCGACATCGGGCAAGACGGCGCCTACTACGCCATCGCCGCGCAGCCCTTCAACCAAGACCCCAACAACCGCACCGTGAGCAACTCCTCCGTCGGCATCGTGCAATACAGCAAGCCCTTCAGCGTAGCCGGCACCAACGGCACGTTCGCGCAGTACGAGCGCGACGGCCGCAGTCCGGGCTGGGCCGAGTTCATCTCGTGCAGCGCGTACAGCTGCGTGCGGGAATGCTACAGCCGCAGCTATCCCAGCGACTGGACGGACGATCCGTGTGCGGGCGCGCCGCATGTCGCGTACGACTGTTTTGCCGAGTGCCCGAATACTGATATCCCGAATTGGCCGGATGAGATCGCCTCGCTGTATGGGGCTGATTGCTCGCATCTGTCGTTTTTGCCTATGCCTACGCAGACGGTCACTGCGAGTGCGACGACGATTACGATTCATCAGTCGGCTACGGGGAGCCAGGGTACTACTGGGTTCAGTACGAAGAATGATGGACAGGTGGTGCAAACAGGTTCTTCGACTGCTCAAAAATCGCTTGCGACGGCAAATACTATTGATTCGAGGAACATATGGGCGTTGCTGGGTATTGGAACCCTGGCAATGGTGGTTTGAAATTTGTGCCGAGTCTAATAAATTGTTAGGGCAGTTAATGGATGTATGAGGTAGGGATGGAAGATATTGAGACATTATCGAACATATGGAATTAGCTGCAATATCACCATCAAGGCTACAAAGCCTCTCTTCGCCAGGATTTTGATGTACATAGCCTACCTATATTAGCTGACCAAGCTTCCCAATATTTCTACATCGATGCTGAGCCAGAAGACGAAATAGATATTGTTTAGCAATTGAAACCTTTTACCAAAATAATTGTGGAACGATGCGAAGCAGTAGTATGTGTATGGTTTCTGTGTTGCAGCGCTGCTTAGGCCTGCAGCTGTACTTGGTCTTCAGGAGCTGCAAAATGCGGAGGAATCTCGAAAAGATTGGCATCGGTGCTTGATATTGTGGCACAAAGCTCGAAGTTTTATCAAGTTGGTAGCGGTGCAGAGAGTTCAAGGACAGAGAGACGCGATGATACTTCAGCCCTACAGTATATCCCGAATTATCAAGCATCCCCGTTATGATCATCTGGACGATCTGGGTCCAGCACCTGACACAAGAAGGGCCCCCAAACCAAAAAGATAATGCCCTACAGATAGTTCGCATCCTTCAGCTACTTGCTGTCCAGATCTGAATTGAAACACTACTCTGACTTTTCAAAATCTCGAGTACGATATTAGGAAGTATACCGTCATAAAATCACCTGTACTGAGGTACTGACGTGTCGAGAGTACAGTAAGCGCCCCGCCTCCGCAGTATCCCAAGAAACACAAAGTAAGTCCCTGACCCGATACAGTCGACGGGGTTGGAGGGTTTGTACGATGTGACTTCCAGGGTGTGGTGCATCGAAACCAAACGCGCGGGGTTTCTTACAACACACGTCGCGAGAGAAATATGTATAGCGGCGGATCAGGGGTAGTAGGGCTGCGGCGTTTGATATTCGATCAAGGCCTTTCTTTGGTGTGACTGGGGGCTCACATCATTTGGTGATTGTATTGCATCGTACAGAGTCTGTAAGGAATACTGGTTCTGGCAATGAGGGGCATGCATGTGGACCGTATTGAGATGTCGTGATGAAGAGAAATGGATTGGATTCTGGGTACAGTACTGAGTACGAGGCACAGAGTTCGACTAGAAATCGCGGACAATGATAGGATGCCGGTTGCTGGGTCGATTTAGGGACCTTCCAGTGATGGATTTCTCTGCTACTTGACTCGTCCACAGCGTCCGTTTTGTGGTTCTAGCAACGTCACTCATGCCTGCAAGCGAGCCAGGCCAGGGGCAGGGGCTACCGGTGATTAACCAAGTTATGGGCTGGACCATCTGGGGTGCTGGTGCTGATACGAAAGTACAATATTGTAGTTCATTTCATCTTGGGAACGTGCAGTTCTTCTTCTTCTTCTTGATACTGGTATTATAAGTACAGAATTCAATTCAATCATCTACATCATTCTACCGAGACTGAGCTGCTTTTTCTCTTCACAATTACCACCCCGACTTCTGTGTGTGTTCAGCTGCCATTGATAAGAACCCCCACAAGAACGCCTCCTCCAGCGCGCCACGATTCAGCTTAATCGCATTCGCAGAAGTTGAAGCTGCATAGGCCTCTCTTTGCACAGCCTCGTACTCACCCAAACCAACCCAACCTTATAATAAAGTGGCGACCATTGCGACGACTCTCGAGGCCAAGCAAATCCACATCCAACCGAGTTTCGCAAGTCTGGACCTTATTTTGACGCCAAAATTCCTATCGTGTACGGAGCCAAAGCATTTGAATCTGCCCTTCAGCTGCTTCATCGTCCCACTGCGCCCCAAGCCTTTTACACAAGAGGCAGTCGTAAATATCGGACAATTCGCATACAGACAATCGGGGCAGCCTTGCAATTCATCCATCTCCAGCGTTTGGCCGTCACCGCCCAGATAAAGTTTTGTTTGTCCGGTCTTCCCACGGCAACCGTTTCAGAGAAGACCCCGAGGGACCCAGCCTGCAACGACTCTCTAACTTTAGAGCCTCGAAGACTAGGAACATCTGTATTGGACCTCTGCCACAAACGCTCGATATTCAATTCCGCCTTCAGCAGAACCTTTCCCCGCCTCGCCCTGTCGATATACCCTCTGCCCATATACCCAGCAACCAGCAAATCTTAATGTTATTCTCACGATAGCAATACAAACAATAACGAACTCGTCCCGCCACGACCAAATCACAATCAACTATTCCTTGTGAATCACGAGCACTGCTGAACGGATACAACACATTACGAAACTCGCCGTCCTCTCCGGCGGCTCCGCCTTCATCTGCAATCATGGACCAAACAGCCTATGTACTGGAGACCGCACATCTACTATATGCCAGAGCAAATTCGACGAGCACGGATGCAAATACGGAAGTACGACCCCCGGTATACAAGGCGATTGGAATATCATTGGCAGTAGCGTCAGGATGTTTTATAGGGGTGTCCTTCGTGCTGAAGAAGATTGGGCTATTAAAGGCCAACGACAAATACGAAGAGGTTGCTGGTGAAGGATATGGATACCTCAAGAACGCCTTTTGGTGGACTGGTATGACTTTGATGATAATAGGGGAGATTTGCAACTTCGTCGCATACGCCTTCGTGGATGCGATTTTGGTTACGCCGTTGGGAGCCTTGTCTGTGGTTATTACGACTGTTCTATCTGCGATATTCCTCAAGGAACGACTGAGTATGGTTGGGAAAGTTGGATGCTTCCTATGCATTGTTGGATCAGTGGTCATTGTTATGAATGCCCCGTCCGAAGCATCCGCGGCCACTATTCAGGAGATGCAACACTTTGTTATTGCGCCGGGCTTTCTGAGTTTTGCTGGGGTAATCATCCTTGTTTGCGCCTTCCTTGCTTTTTGGGCTGGACCACGGTACGGAAAGAAGACTATGTTGGTATACTTGTCCATCTGCAGTTTGATTGGAGGTCTTAGTGTGGTGGCTACGCAAGGTCTAGGGGCTGCGATCGTTACTCAGATTGGTGGCACGAAGCAGTATAACCAGTGGTTTCTCTACGTTCTCTTCGTTTTCGTCATCACCACATTGGTTACGGAGATTATCTTCCTAAATGTAAGTGCCCGTCCATAAATGTCGAGTCCTTGCTAACCCTCCTACAGAAAGCGCTGAATCTATTTAATGCGGCACTGGTTACACCTACATATTATGTCCTTTTTACGAGCTCCACGATAATCACTTCCGCAATTCTTTTTAGAGGGTTCAAAGGAACGCCGACCTCCATCATCACCGTTGTTATGGGATTCTTCGTTATTTGTTGTGGGGTCATCCTACTTCAGCTCTCCAAATCAGCCAAAGATGTTCCAGACTCGGCCGTCTTCTCTGGCGATCTCGATCAAGTTCGTACTATTGCCGAGCAGGAACAACCAGAATCAGAACCCAAGGCAGATGCCATTCGAGGCACAGCTGCTATCATTCGAAGACTTTCCAATATGAGACCGAAGATGGAAGCGGAGGAGGCAAAGAGATTGCATGATGAGAAGCAACAGGACCTTGCACCAATTGGAGAAGACCAGCAATTTGTGTGGGATGGCCTCAGAAGGCGGAGAACAACAATGGGGACGCAATACAGTGGTCGCTCGAGAGTAACGACGGCGAGCCCATTCCCTGCTTTCGACCCCGATGCACCACCACCCGTTCCCCTCCGCACAGTCGGTACAATTCCTCGCGTGAACACCCCCGGTACCATTCGCTCACCTCAGCTACATCCTCCCCTTGGCATGTCTCAGTTCCCCGCCGAATCGGACTCTGATGATGAGGAGCGGCCGATTACCAGAGGATCTTCTGTTTTCACACGAGTCAAATCTATCATGGTCCCAGGCCGAGATCGTTCACAAAGAGGCAGTGGGCCTTCTCACGCTCAGAGCCCAATGCATCCCGTTCCCCTAACCGAAATTTCCATCCCAGGATACGACGGGAGTAGTGGTGGTGGAGAGCCCCCTTATTATGGCCACGACACAGAATACCATGGCGCAGGTGATGGTAGACATATCACAATCCTAGAAGCAGAATCACACCGCTCAGACAGCGGAGGAAACACCCACCTCCACCCCAACGCCGGGGCGCCCACCCCACCCCCACACTCCGCACGCCGACAGTTCTCTTTCCAAAATGTCTTCCGAAGAGACTCGGCTCCATCGCAAACCCACCCGCATGGCGACGCAGAAGAACCACCAAGTCGCTCGCCTATGATCCGCATGCACCAGGGCCGGAAACACAGCGGCGGCGCCTCTATAAAAGGCGCGACGGAGGAAGAGAGGTTGGGGCTAGTAAAAGGTGATACCGCTACGGGGCGCTTAGCAACAGTACCTTCCTACGACAGAGAAGAAGACGAGGAATCAGATGAATGGCCGTCAGCAGAGAAACGACGCGAGTTAACACCGCCCAGGAGGGAGAGCCCGACGAGCGAGAAGGGGATAGGCGAGGATGCGTATTACGACAGTCCAAATAGGCGGTGGGATACGAAGCGGGATCCCAGTCCGCCAGGCAGGGGGGCGTTTGTATGACGGCAAGTAAATTGCATTAATGAGCGACTTGATGAGCAATATATGGTTTGAGCGAGCGATCGAGCGTTGGATAGCAATAATCATGCCTTAATGACTTTACCTACCTTGTACGATAAATGAGCGAGCGGGTCTCTTGGATATACATATACAAAGACGGAGATGAGCGGATATCGGATTCGCTAGCTATGGTTTTGATAGAAGGCAGGAGGGAGGAGGAAAGAGGCAGGAAGGGCAGCGAAACTGCTCTGTATATTAGAATCAGGGCGATTGGAAATAGCTACATAGATACCGGTACTTATGAATGAATTGTAGTATGAATATATTGCGCTGGAGATGGGGTATAAGATATGGAGCAAGGCAACTTTCAACTCGATGGGGAGTATAGCTTTAACACGTGAATATCGAGCTCGTCAGGTGACCCTAGGCAGGTAAGATTATATTTATAGCTTCGCTAGTGTAACGCAAGGCGACACTGCGTTAACAAGGCCAACGGACACAAGAATTAATCAATGATCATTTATACATTTATAGCCGGTGGCTTTCATTTTGCGACACGAGTGGCTCAATGCCTCTCTGCACACTTTGTGAACAAGTCACACCATGGACTTTAAAAACAATCAGATTCAACGGCGCGAATGTGGCCCGGCCAGAAAATTGCAATCCACATCATCGAAGCTTTCTAGCTCTACAAGATTCAAGCCATAACTGCGAATTATGTCGACTTATGTGCATCTCATTACTTGACAACAAACACAACCCAAGGGTTAAACTCCAGCAAGATCTTCCTATTCTCGTCGGGAGTGCCCTAAATCTGCGCGTCGACTTTCAAACCGATGGGCCGCAGGTGTATAACATCGTTGTTCAGTGCGGGGAAAGCTTTACGGTTCTGCATGCCTTTGCCGATCCGCAATCTGATGCAGCATTGTCTCATGCCGTTGCTGGGAGACTCCCACTTCAACCAGATAGCCGAGAGCATTTTGAAATGATTGCTACATGGCTGGAGGAATGCAAACGTAATCATCCAGCATGCAGGATCGACCGAATGGGAGAAGATTCTAAGGATGCACTCCCGACAAAGACTTCAAAGCTTCCACGTCGTGTGATTGATGTCGGCAAATGCAGTGACTCGACAATTCGATTATTTGAATCCCCAGATAGCGAAGGAGAATACGTCGCATTGAGCCATAGATGGCCCACAGACCCGTCGAAACACTACACGACGACTCGGGATACCATCAAGAACCGCAAACAAGAAATGCGTCTCGAGGATATGCCTGAAACTTTCCAGGATGCTGTTAGGGTCTCCAGAGAATTAGGGTTCCGATATCTGTGGATTGATTCCTTGTGCATCATCCAAGACGACCCTGCAGACTGGGACCAACAATCTGTGTTAATGGGGCAGATCTATTATCGGGCTACGATTACTTTAATGTCAGCTACGACTCCAATACCTTCAAAAAAGAATTACCAGGAAGACTCTCCCGGCGGGTTTCTCTACAGAATACCAGAAATGTCACGGTCACGGCCAGCGATAGTAAAGATGGACTATCATGATCAAGACTGGCAAATGAAAGGAAACTGGTTTATCCAATATCGACAGCAATATATTTCAGATAATCTAGATCTGTTGACTAGAGGTTGGGTACTACAGGAAGAGCTACTGTCCCGAAGGAAGGTAATCTACGCTCCGGACCAGGTGCTATGGGTAAGTGAACTCATGAGATAGCTCGATAGTTTGCTTACAAAGTAAAGCAATGCAGATCATTACAGGTCTTTGAAGTCAACCGGGACGTCAAGACCAATTTCGAGCGCTTTAAAGATTCTGGAAGTTGGCAAGACCGAGAATTCATGGATCACTGGCTTGGATCGGCAGAACTCTACTCTTATCGCAACCTGACTTTTGAGTCTGACAAGCTTCCTGCTTTGTCTGGTCTAGCATTGCATTTTAGCCAACGACACGGGCAGGAATACTACGCGGGTATTTTCAGCGGAGGCGTTGCCGAAGGTCTGCTCTGGGCTCCATCTTACGCCGGGTGTCTTTCTCGTCCGAAAAGCTACATCGCCCCTTCTTGGAGCTGGATTTCCCTGGTTGGAAGTATCAAGATGTTAGCTCCCCTTATGGTAGATGATGCAGACAATGATGTGCCGCCGCTCGAGAGTGCGTTAGAGGACGTGCGTTTCGAACTTTCCCCCGAAGGGCAAAACCCATATGGACGACTTAAGGGTGGCTACATGGAAGTCACAGGCTGGCTGAAGAAAGCGAACATGATTCGGCAAAACGTTGACGGTCATCTTTTGATGGACCTCCATGCTGATGGTAAGCTAATGGGCTTCTTCACTCTCGACCTAGCAGAGTACGCCCCTACAGCCATGTCGATGCAGGAAGTCGAATGCTTGTATACGCTGCGAACGCACGAGAATGTCTTGGTTTTGAGGAAAGTTGGGGATTTGGAGGAATATGAACGCATTGGAATCGCTACGGTTGACCCAGCTTGGTTTAGTGAAACTAATGCTAGGAAAGAACGGATTACGATTGTTTGAATATTTATATTTCACCTGAAATGTCACTTGAATATATAAGGTTTCCGCTATCATTCACCCGTCTTGATTATAGAGGAATAGCTCTTCTTCTAGACTTTTTTAGTTATATACCTACTATACTAGGTAGCTATAGGTGGTGTGGATTAAAAATACACACATGATTTTATATCTTAGAGCCTCTAACTTTAGCTCAGTTCTAAACCGTTATATTTTCCACTTAAATTTGAGTTAAAAAGCTCTACTTTCCAGCGTACCTAGAATTGAGCTATTTAGGGGTTATGCGCTAGCTTAGTCAGCTTTATTGCTTTGCTACAGGATTCATTTCGAATAGTAATAGAGTGGGGGCTACAAGGCAGGGGACACGATTCGGAAGAGGGCCACATCGGAGCGACCCCTACATGCAAATCATCCATTGCTTAGTGGTTGCTAGGTAGATTTTATTATATAAGATGCGTTTTTACGTATTTAAAAACTAGAAATCTACAGAAGCCTACACTTTTACACTTCGTCCGCTGTATCTCCCCCATTTACGTACTTCTAGCCCCTTGTTTATGCCTGCTTAGGCTTAAACTCATGCAGAATGCGCGCAACGCTGCAGATCCGTGCGACTTTTCCCACCAGCCGCAATCCAGAAATGGCTTCAATGTTACCCTACCTACAGTGGGGGTTTGTTTATTGTTGATCTTAAAGTGCATAGCCTTTGGAGGGAGGAAACAACTTTGCGTTTTGAATTATGAACCGCGAGCCAAGGTACGAGCATTATGAATTCCTCAGTCACAGTCCCTCCTAGTGCGAAGAACCACGGAGACCCAGGACTTATATGTCTACCCCCAGTCTGGACAGACTACTTGATCTTCTTCGCAACGAATTATATCGCACACGCAGGGACTCTCATCAGTCACCCAGGCGAATCGATCCAGGAAACTGTCATTGCGGCTGCAAATGCGTTGTTTATACCGGGCTCTGGAGCACTGCGTGCATTCCGCTTCCTCGTCTTGTATCTTAGTCCGCGTCTTACGGGAAGCACACATCGGTATTCCAGTACTGCCCTCGGGCAAGCGGAAAGGGCCGGGGCTCTTTGTATGGTCGTGCAAGAGAGGGTCGTTGGCCGCGCGCTGCAGACAACGACTGGCACTCCAAGATTTTTCTTTGGAGAGAATATCAGATCAGTTCCCCTGGAAAGAAAAATCCATGGCGTCTGCAAGCTCCCCGTGCCTGGTCCGGGAGTCCCTAAGTACTGTCTGGTCGAAGTGCCTCCGCATATGCTACTGCGGCCTTGGCCTCTAGATTTGGGTTCTGGGAGTGACTCAAAGAGTGGGAATTCAGAGCCAGACTCATCGAATTGGCAGCTGGGGAAATCTTACAACGTGCCAAAGATCATGATCAGTATCCTGCAGATTGTGTGGGGGGTTGTCACGCTTTATAAGACTCGGGGTGACCAGATAACCCTGTTCGGATATGGGGCATTTGGCCTGACAGTTGCCCCGTACGCTATCATGAGCATCATCAATCTAGCAACAAATCTAGTCCGTCCGGAGTACGCGGCCATGTATCTTGTGCACTCGCCTGAAATGGATACAGCTATTTCACACGGTGGAGAATTCCAAGGCATTGTTGCCGGAGTTGGTGATCTTTCAGTGGATGTCGATACAGGGGAAATGATGCCCGAGGCGTTCACAGGAGACCTTGAATCGACAGCAGATAATCTCAGGTACACTGGTCTCAATCTACTTGGCTACCTCGTCACAGCCATTTTGCCTATCGCGTTAGTGGCTGGGTACACGGGTTTCCAGTCCGGTTCGAATGTTGAGATTCCCATTAGCTGGATCCTTGGCTGGCTGATCGTTGGATCTGTGTCTTCGGTTTGGGTTCGTATCTCGGGTGCATATGGAGATGTGGTGCATCCGATATGGGGAGTCATATTAGTCCTTCCTCTTTGGGTCCCAGCTATAGGTGGTTTTGTTGTAGTTGGGGAGATGTTGAACGATTTTGGGATTTGTACTTCTTTTGACTAATAGGTTGAGACGATGGCAATCGGGTATTTTTGCTGGGCTGCCTTTCCTGTTCCCTGTTTGCTGTCTTCTGCTCTAGCAATGGAGGAACTCCATCTGGAGACTAAACCTCCAATCCTGATTGATAAACAAAATATCAAGGCGATTTCGGAGTGGGACCCGCAGGCGGGTTACTCTGGTCGCATGATGACTGGGATCCTCTGAATGCATTCATGCCGTCACGGCATCGGGAGGACAGAACGCTTAAGAAAAGAGAGAGAAGAAGAAAACTAAGAGTTGGAAAACTACGGAGTAAAGGTTAGGACAAATGATCATCATCGACAAGGCTGTTTCAGGATAGTGGAGAAATGGCCATTGAAGAACGTCTGGGATTGTAGTAAATGATCACTGGCACTAAGCATAGAGAAACGCGCGGTATTGAAGCATAATAAGTCAAGCATTTACTTCCTCTTCTTGACCTTTTATCTAGCGGAAAATATGGAATATGGAAGAGTCGGTATACAAGAATAACAAGAGAACACCTGGCTTAAGAGAATTTCATCAAGGAGCCCCTAGAAAACCACCCGCATAGCGTCAAAATCTCATGAGCTTCCCCATGATCCATTAAACCCCTTCATCATCAGCCATATAGATATCCCAATCTGTCTGGATAGCACCCCCGAATGTCGTATCCATCTCGAAGAAGTTTGCTTGTGACAAACTCCTCACCTCAAAGGTCCTCTGAGGATCCACGGCATCATATCTCCAAGAGCCGTTCGTACTTTCTGCTTCTGCATTGAATATTGGATCATAATCCTGATTTACGTTTCCCAAATCGTTCCTGAAGTATCGGTCCTCAGAAATGCTTGAAACGGCGGGATTGTTTGCGCCTCCATGGTTTGCCGTTGGCGTGGGGAAGTACTCCACCGCTGAGTCTCCTAACTCAGCGTGTTGCTGATGGCCGGGGTGATCATAGGAAGACCCGATAGATGCCGCGACAACGCTGCCATTGCGAGACATTGCTGCATCAATAGCCATTGAGTTCACATGATCTTGCGTGTCGACACTCAGGCCCTCTCCAGTTCCAATTTCATCGGACATGTACCCAATTCCATTGACATCGTCCCCAGATCTGGCGATTGGGTCATACTTGTCTCCGCCGTCCGCAGTTGGATTGGCGACTGCCGACAATACTTGGTCGCAGCAACAGACATCTACCTCGCTCACTTCATCACTAGTGTATTCTCCCCTCTGTCTAAGGTACTCCAGATATTCGTACTCGCTGTCAGTCTCATCTTCTTCCTCAAAATCGTATTCACTATAGGTGCGGTCTTCTCCCACGCCCCCTTCCTCTCGTTCTTCTTCGCTCTGTGTTTCGTTCTCCTCACACCAGAATCTGCCAGTGCCCATCTTTTTTTCCCATTTTTCTTCATCCCAAGTTTGGTAGTACTCTGCGAATGTGAGCTTCGAAACTTGGCGAGCTCTAGTATATTCTAAGTGTCGTGGCATGGTTTGTCTCACAACCTCTTTCGAATTGAACCCGCAGGACTCGAGTGCTTCGGACCATTCTTCTTCTCGGCCGAAGTTCTTGGCGTTGCGGGAAGCGGAGCGACCGGAGCCGTCCAAAGCGTAAACATCAACACCTGCTGCGATAAACACCTTCAATAGCTCTCCTGGTTCTTTGTATGGGCGAATACCATGCCGTCCTCCATGCCTATAGCGTCGACGGTGAAGAATTCGATGTAGTACTGTATTGCCTAGGCAATCACGGCACGAAATGTCCACGCCCCAACGGAGAAGCAATATTGCTTTTTCAAGGACCTCCGTCGCATTAGATGTGTCATAACCAGACATTGATGCCAAAATAATCAATGGCGACACCAACTCTCCGCCAGAGCTGTCTTCACGGACGAGTATAGAAGGATGTATGAAAGGTTTTCCATGGTTAATGACATGCTTTAGAGTCGTCTATAAACTATTAGCAAGACAAAACAGATGTTTAGATTGCCTTTTGCCTACTGAATCCTCACAGACCAGAGTCCACCACAAGCCGGATATTAACTCTTCGTGTTTCTCTTCTTCTTCAAAGTCTGCCCAAGCTTCTAGCAATGCCTTATAGCACTCGGGCCTATTCCTGAAGTTGCACTCGACATTTCTTTCTTCCAAGAATTTGAGGAGATCCTCCAGCTTGCCGTGTAGCACGATAGAGAATATCTCAGAATCATTTGGCCTCGTGGCTTGATAAGTGATCCTTGCTGAAGGATTGAGACACGAATCCAGATCCAGAATAATTCGATAAGTATGGGAGCTTCCTTTTAAGTTTATGGCAATCTGTGCACCAATTAATGTTTCTATGTCAGAACGTATATCAGTGGAGTCGTTCTCTGGATAGGGCTGACTTCGCCAGAACCGGGCGACGACTGTCCCATATGGCGTTCTCCAGCTTCCATAACGATGATTAGTAGGTTGAGAACCCTTAACATATGCATGCCCCGAATGACGAACCAACCCTACGCAGATGTTTGAGTAGTCATTTTCAATAACGTGTGACATTGGGCATACCTTGGGTATCATTCTCCAAGCTAAGCTCGCGAGTGAGATTGATCTGGTTTCGGACCTGAAACAGGTCATGTTCCAGGTCTGGACTCCATATATCATGCTTTGGACATTTGGGCACATCGTTGCCAACACTCAGGATTTGCTGAAAATCGTTAAGCAAGTGCCCACATTGCTCGGAGTTGATCACCACGTTCCCTCCATGCGCATGTTCCAGAAGCCGATCTACCGGGGTATCTTTTGGGCTGGGAGTAGTTGATGAAAGGGTGCGGATAGTACCTGGGTTGATCACCGAAAGTACTGAGGGGCGTGGTGATGCGATTCGAAACTCAGTTCGCAGACTCATCTGACTTTGAAGGGCTACAACAGCCATAAGTATTCAGTCCCTGAAGTCTAGGTACCGGACTTACGTGAAAGAGGAGGTCCATGAGGCTGCCAACTTGTGGTAGGATACTGTTTCATCCATCTTTGTATGTCGTCGGTCTTTAGGTGGCCATAAACTCGTACATGGTTCGTGGCTTTTCCAAGCACCTCCTTTCGATATTGAATATGTCGCATAATCGAGAGTCGTTTACATTCTTCGACATTTCTCTTGAGTTTCATCTGAGAGACTTTGGTTTTGTACTGACGCTCGCTGCTTGCAGGTGAGTACCATTCATCACAATCAAGGATTCGGATGACTTACGTAGCTGAGAATCCAAACTCTTGGTTGACAATATTCCTTAATTCATTGTACGGGAGCTCATCATCGACGAAGAGCTGTCGTATCCGATTCTCAGCTGGCGCCCATTTCTTCGCATCCATAGTCTGGGCCTTTGGAGCACGCTTTTTGGCGGGCGGCGGCCCATCTTCAGCATGAGGATAGTGTGGCAGGCTTGCTGTTGATTCTCTGAGTCTTTTGAGGGAAAAACGGCGACCTTGGTCAGGAGAAATCGCGTTCATGCTGTTTGAATGCGTGTGTAGCGACATGGAAGCATTGGGTACTTGTTGTTGAAAGGGCGAAGACGGCATCGCCATTTGGAATTGTTGGCCATTATTTGGGTACCCAGCATCCCAAGAAGTTATGTTCAAGTCCTGTGCTGCGTTGTTCATGAATGGGGTGAGTTGATTGTTGACTACAGGAAATGTTGAAGAAGAAGGCTGAGCCCACGGTGCGGGTTGGGACATCTGAAATGATGAAGAGGATGATTCGAAGACAGCATCACAACCATCATCTACCATCTTTGATGGTGCTGCGAAATGAAGCCTTGCATCTCTGCTGTGATATAAAGAAAACAGGACGAATGTTGGAATTGAGACGGTGGTCACCGAGCCTTATGACCTTCCCTCCTGTTGGTGGGGTGCGGCTCAGCCGTGCCTGTATGACGGACTTCAACCCCTGCCCAAAAAGTACAATCTGTCATAACCTATGAGCGAGCCGCACTCGAGTAGTGCGTCGCTGGTGAAACATTGGAGGCCAATAGAGAAAAAGTACTATATGGCCGAACGTGTCAGCGCACGCATATGACGCCCCTCAATGCAATGCCGAATCCTGGCCTTACGAACAGCCTCGGAGTCTACGAAGCTTATAATATTTTGATTTATTGCATTCTATTGACTCGTCACGAGGTGGGCGTAGTATGCTTTGCTTTGACGGCATTTGCATATAGTATTTTTTCTACCCAATGAGGGACGCCAGTAGCGTCATCCCAGTAGATCATTAGATACGAGAACTGTCCCCAAATATGTTCCGCGGCGCAAAGTCAGATAGTACTTTGTTCTCGAGATTTCTCGTTATCTACGGAGCTTTATCAAAAGGAACAAAATGACCGAAAAACACTCGAAACTCAAAGCTGGTATTCTCCTTCATTCAGACACAAGCTTTTGAATATATAAGCACATCAAGTGTAAGTCGTCCAAGACTGAGTTGAGTATCCAAAGAAGCTGATCGAAGCCCAGAATCTGTCATGTCACTCAGCGATCTGCTGGCCCTTCTCTCATTCCTCTTCAACATCTTGGGAACCGTCGCAACGATAATGGCAGCGATATTTGCATATCAAGGACTGAAACAATTCCAGGCACTCGACGGTAATTTCGAAAAGTTCGAGGAATATTATCGAGAGCTGATGCTTGTATAAAGTACCAAACTCCATGGAATCTCCACCTCCTCATACTCCTAGACGGGCATCAACTGCTGCCACCGTGTAGCCTGGGAATACGTCAGCGTTTCTTGCCTATGTTTCATTCCAACGGCGAACAAATAGCTTTAATATCATCGTTGCTCAAATCTTGATTATTTAGGTTCTTGGTGGTAGAGACTTCGGGTAGCTTTCAGTAGACGGTCGGATATTGATATGAAAAAATGGGGCATAAGAGCGAGTGAGGGAATTGGTTGCACCATTGCTAGGCTGTTCTCTATAGCTCAATCAGTGCAGAATGAACGTCTGAACATGCGATGAGCTATTTGTGTTGCTGTTGGCTTTGGCTTTGGCATAGAAATAAAAAGTCCAACTCTATGAATAGGTGCTTAGACGTAGCTGCTATAGAGGATGAAGCAAAACATATGCGAATATAGATAAAGAAAGCAGCATCGACAACGGTGAGGCGTCTAACACAGCAAGGCAAGCCAGCAGCTTAGATACCACAAGAGTTTTAAGATATTACTAAACAAAAAAAGCCCAAAGCAGAGCGCCCTCTTTCTCTTCGGAGGCACTGTAACCACTATGGATCCTTGATCGCTTGATTGGATGGTACCAATGTCAGTTCGATATTATGTGTAGCAGACCGATGCTGCATTAGGAACAGCCCAAAGGATGGCTATATATATATGCATCCCCTCCCCCTCTGTATTTAGAACTAGAGACATATAAAGTTCAATCATATCCACCCTATGCTTCTTCTCATTCATTCACCAAAAGCCTCTATATTCAGCCATCTGATAACCACCTCATGTAGCAACGTCGCATGACATGGCGCACCCGGCCGCCACAAGATTAACAATAACTTGTCAATATCGTAGTAAGACTAGGAAATCCAGATCCAACTATTCTATGAGTTTGAACGGTGAAAAGAGCTCGATAGTAGTATTTCGGGTCGAGGAATACTTATTATACTATACAAGCGGGCTCTCTAGATATGAGTTCTATAGGCATATCAAACCAATCCTGATTGATAAGCATAACATGAAGGCGATTTTGGAGTGGGACTGGCAGGGGAATTATAAAGTGAGCCTAAGAATAGAGCCTGGTGAAACCTCATCCTTCAGGTTATCATAAGCCCAATGACCGTATAATGTGAAAACATAATTCCCTCACCAAATGACAACGCCTATCTATCCCTATTTCTGCACGGTCTGATAAAGACGCCCTGGTAGTAACGTGTAATCTCCTCGCCCTTCCCACACCGTCTCTATAGGGAAGGACGCTTGTTTGGAGGATTCCAAGGACCAAGGTACCGCAAGGCAGCATTCTTGTGGGCTGGGCCATCTGCGGCATAGTATGAAGTCCTCGCAAATGACTTCAAGACTCTGTACCCACATACTGGTAAGGTAGAAGGTCAATAAAAGTTTGAAGCGGCAATATAAAAGAAGGCGTTGAAAAAGAAACTCGAAATTTACACTAAATAGTAGACATCGCGTGGAGAGAACGGAGACCCAGGGGTGAAGATAAGGGGGGATACGTCTGGAGAAAAGCAAATGAAGATGGCCCCAAGCCTATTAGAGCTTATTAAACGCAGAAGGTGAGGTTAAGGAAGATGCCTAATAGATTTTGGTATTTTCTAGCAGCAGAAGCCTAACTGTGGTATACTAATACTGCTGTAGCACCCACACTAATCTCAGTTGTTATACATCTAGGGGTTTATGGCTAAAGAGGGGAAAGATCTACAATTCTGGGCGTTAAACTGACCCTAACTCATGGGCTCACGAGGAAATTAGTCAAGGGTAATATTAGAATGTTGCGAGAACAGGCAGGGGGTGGGTTAATCTTGTGCTACCCAAACATGCACATTTCGTCAAATAACTATATGCATGGCGCTTTTGATTGGCGTGAAATGTTTTCTCGATAGCCATTCCAAAACTTGAGACATTACTCTATTACTATTCATTGGTTGGCCATGGAGATGAACTATTTATAAGTAAGATTGGCTTCGGCTTCTTGCCTTCACAGGAAATAAGTCCTATATTGCTGTCTTACTATCCTACTATCTTTTTTTTCTTTTCTTTTTCTTCTGAATCCATACTCTTCTTAGTAGCTATGCACTATGTAGAGGTTATCTGATTTACAGTTCAAACTTTTAAGTTCACCTCCAAATCCCGGCCTAGCCTGTTTAAGGCATTGGTAAATGACTTTCTAGAAATCGAAGAAATATAACAAAAATAGTAAAGAAAACAGTCTCTTTTTCCCCCTCCTTTACCTCTCTTCCTAGTTTTGACCTTCATCTTCGCCTCCACTTTCACCTTTCCCTTCACTATCGCCTTCTCCTACTCGGCTCCTGTCCTTTTCATCCGCTTTTGGGCCTTTAGAAGGCGTAGTTGGTGAGCTACGGATAGGCAGTGTTGTACACCCTGTAGGAGTGCGCTTTCCCGTGCTAGACTATCTTACTATCTCGCTATCTTCCTATCTTCTATACTTCGATGTTATTCAATCTATCTTGAAATGGCTACTTCGTCGTTTGAACCACCGCCATATCCGGATGACAATCGCGGTCCCGTAGTCGAGGCAATTATGTGGACCGAGACCGGCCTCGCTATCCTGACTGTTGCGCTGCGCTTCCATGTGCGTAGGTCAGCCAAATCTTTGGCAGGTGATGACTGGCTGATGCTCTTGGCTTTGGTAAATCACATATGAAAAGAGTTGTCTAAGGAGACTTACTAACGTTTAGCACAGGCTATGTTGATAGCGTGGACAAGCTTAATGACATATTATGCCAGCTGGGGTGGTTTCAGACACATGGCCTACCTGCCGATCTCAACTCAAAAGGATGTCATATTTTGGAACCTTCTAATCCAAAGCCTTAGTATTTTATTATTCATTCCCAGCAAGTTACCTGTAGCGTGGCTTATTCTGCGCATCATCGGCCCTCACATGGTTTGGCGAAGACGCGTCCTTCTTTTACTCATGGTAACAGTATTTTTATTCAACTCTCTATTAGCCATTTTCCTCTGGGTTGAGTGTCACCCAATCGCAGCGGCATGGGATTATACAATCCATGGAACCTGTTGGAGCCCTGGTATAAAGGTGAAATTTGGTATACTCGACTCTGGTGAGCAGACTTTCGTGGGCTCCTCCTCACCTTATACTAACGGAATTAGCTTGGAATATTATGGTGGACATCATTTTAGCACTGATGCCAGCGACTATTATTTGGCAGCTGAAACTACCAAATAAGACCCGGATTGGAGTTTCTATTCTCATGTCGTTGGGTCTCCTGTAAGTTCAATACCCATCAAAAATGCAATACAACAGTCTAACACTTTGGTTAGCGCCGCTATATCTGGGATCATCAAAACACTTTACTTGAGTGAAGTTACCGCGAAGTCTGACCTCTCCTGTATGTTCGCCTTTACTATCAGCGTTCCGTATATTGCTAAGTGTTGTAGGGTCAATGTACAAACTGCCTATTTGGAATGGAACAGAGCAATTTGTTATTATATTCTGTGGGAGTATTCCACCGCTCAAGCCTTTCTATGATCAGCACATTAAAGGATTCTCGTTCGCTTCGTTTGTCGCATCCGCTGCTTCCCAGAGAACACGGTCCCGTTCGGTCAACTCTTTTGCGCTTCGCAGCCCGTCTATGTGGAAGAAAAGACATCCCCTCGTTAATACGACCGATGCTAGTATGACGCCTATTGTTCAGACACGTGTAGTTGATGTTGATGTTGAGAGCGCGAGGAATAGGTCAAACGAGAGCAGAAGAGTCATTCTCTGAGCTGCAAATAGTTTTGAAACTGCTAACTCTCGCATATTTAGAAGGGAGTCATGCGGAGGTCATGTGGCTAATAGTGTGGAGGGACAACACAACCGCGGACTCTAGGCTAGGATCTGACTTATAGTTTCATCATTGTATAAATATATATGTTAAATAATCTGTATAAGAGAGTGTATTTTAGAATAGATGATGGTCTAAGTTCATCGATGTGTCCGATTTTACAAGGTACGGTGCAGTGCTAGCCGCATACCCCACTTCACGTGACAGCCCGTTTGGTCCTCACCACAATAGGAATCATTTACAGTCTGGAACTGCTGCAAGCCGCCGGATATTCGCTCATCGAGGAAGTGTAGCCATTGCTTAAAGCCGTAGACGTGTTTTAAAACGGCTTTTAGGGAAAAGTACAAACTGTCTCAGGAAAGACTTATGCAGAGGGGTTCGGTCTTAACGTCGCCTGTATTCGTGTGGAATTCCGAAGGGGAGATGATGTTGTAATGCTTCAGGGTCTCTGTGCGGCTTTCGCTATTGATGAAAGGCGTTACTGGAGGATTTGGAGTCGTGTAGAAGAGAGTATGGTTGTGATTTATGTCTGTAATCCGAAACCATGACGGGTAAACGTACTCGCGGTACTTGTGGTACATATAAGTATCTATACTCAGATGCCGGCCAGGAGGAAATGCGTCAAGCCATATTTGAACACATAGCTCTGGAGGCAGCTCCTGGAACTTTGGGAATGTGGTCGGTGGAGATGTGGGTATGGGTATGGGTCTAGCTATAAATGGTTCATGGTGAAGAAGCAATTTGAGAGGACTGGGGCTGGTATTGTTATATCTATTGAGGTACCCATTTTTCACCCCGGATTTTATATGAAGTTTTCAATTAGAGTTTGGAAGAACTAAACGACTGCTAGCCTCAAATTGTTTGAGATAAGAAGTCCAAATTTCAAGATGCGAAGCGGATTTTGATAGGTCGGATGACCTGGCGTAGCACTGATCATGAAAACGTCGATAAAAAGTAGGCGGCTTTCCGAATTTCTCGAGAGATATTAATTGTTGAAGAAAAAGATCAAAATAGAGGGATTTTTTGTGGAGGAAAATAATAATAAAACCCTCTACACTAATCAGTCTAATTCGCAACTTACTGTACCCAACTCTCCCTAGGACCCAAGTTTTATACTGATATCAGTTAGTCCGGACTGTACCGCAAGAAATCTTATCGTATTTGAAAGCCATCCATAAAACCTTGCAACAAAAGAGTATCTAAGTTCAATATAACAACCAATAACGGTTCTTGATCAGATAAGCTAACAGTCGAGATATTTCTTGGATGCTATATGTCATGTGACAATCTCCAATATAGGGGTTCATTCGCTAATCAGACACCCCACTTTTAACCCCCATGGTTTCTTCTCCCCCCCCCTCAACTCCACCACCATACAGCCGAATAAACTCCACCTCACCCCTCTAAACCCTCCATACCCTCCCGTCACATAACTTAACTTGCACAGCCATGCCCCAAACCTGGCTCGTAGTGGGCGCCTCCCGTGGCATCGGCCTCGAATTCACAACCCAACTGCTCTTGCGCGGCGAAACCGTCATCGCAACGAAACGCAGCGCCTCGGAATCCCTCGACGCCCTTCTCGAGACCCCAAACGGGAAGAAGAACCTAACGGTCTTGCGATGCGAGGTTAGGTACGAGACGAGTATCAAGAATTTTGCGCTCGAGGTGGGGAAGCTGGGTGAGGAGGGTGGTGTTTTGGAGGGTGGGGTTATTGATTATGTGGTGATTAATGCGGGCGTTTTGCAGTATCCGAATAGGATTTCTGATGTGTATGTTATAATGCGTTTTCTTTATCAAGTCTTTATCGCTACCGCCCCCTCCCCCTTTCTTTATGTATGTATTCCCGATTCACGTGACTGACCCCATCGCTTTCTTAACCTCTCCTCTCTTCTCCACCCCTTAATCACAACCTCTACTCTCTATCAAGATCCTATTTCCAATCGACGTCTTTTATTCATCCCTCTAATCACCGCCCTCAGCTCCTTCACATCATTCACACACCACCTAACAACCAACACAATCGGCCCCCTCCAGACAGCCAGCACCCTGCTCTCCCTCCCGCTCCACATAAAAACCCTGATCTTCATATCCTCCGACTCCGGCTCCGCGCAAGCCTTCCTATCGCACGAAGACGGTTTCGGGGCCTACGCTGCATCAAAAGCAGCTCTGAACCAAGGTCTCCGACACCTGTCGTTCGAAATGCATCGCAAGTATGTGGCGTCGAAGAGTTTGAATGAGAGTGGAGGTGGAGGTAAGAGTGGGAGCGCAAAGGGAAAAACTGTGGTATTGGCGTTACATCCGGGTGAGGTGAGTACGGATATGGTGGCGGATATCAACTTGGGATGGGAGGTTAAGGGCGTGATTGGGGTGCGTGAGAGTGTAAGCGGGTGTTTGGGGGTAATTGGGGAGAAGGGGTTTGGGGGCGTTGATGAGGGGGGATGGAGTAGTGTGGAGGAGGGGAGGGAGGATGAGGAGGGTGCGGCGACGTTTTGGACGTGGGATGGGAGGAGGTATCCTTGGTAGTTGAATTGTTAATATGTACTGAGTATGAGTGTTGTGTATGCGCGCCCGAAAATTCTACATTTGTGATTCCTTACCACCAACGCCATGCCATGCTCTATAATGCCAATCATTTACCCCACCATAAGATATCGGGCTCAAATCGCAGCAGTTCTCTTCCTTGTCATCCTGACTTTCTCTTTCGCCTCCTCAACTTTCTTGAGCCTCCACTCGCAGTTCTCCGCAAAATCGCAACTGCGACATTTATACGCCTCCTCGATGACCACACCTTTTGCTTCTCTCTCTCCTTTCCACCACTGCATCTCGCTTTGAACATAAGCTCTCAACTCCTGGTCATCCATAGCAAAGTTCTTACTTCCTACTATCTCGCCAGTGTCCCTTGACCTGTACTCGGCCTTAAGGATTCGCCCAAGAGAAGCAGTTCCGTCTGGGAGAGTGATATGGAATTCGGAAATCATGAGGGACCATAGCGTCGCAAGGTTGTTATGTGCTAGCAGTGTAGTCATTGAGTCTTGGCTCGATGCTGGAAATGACTCTTGACTTCCAGCAGGCACAGAAGAGGAATCTTCGAAGATTTCGTCGTTGAGACTGCCTACCTGGGCGATGAATTCGTCGGAGAATACCTTCAATGGGTCGAGATTGTACCGATCTGTGAATGCAGAGAAATCCACAGTGTTTGTTGCGAGCTCTGAGAGCAGACGATGATAGAGTTGGAGCTGCATTCTTGTCGGACGAAAAGTGGCCCCTGAGGGTAGACTTCGGACTGATCGAGTTTTTACGTCGCACAGGTAGACTTTCTTCGCCTGAGATCGTTTTTTGTTTCTTGTTGCTTCATTAATGGAAGAGCTTCCTCCCGCTTTGAAGAAATCAGCGATAGTCGGCTGGTCAGAAGGGGGCTCGTCTTTAGGGGCCTCTTGTAGAGATTCCTCGAGCTCGCTATCTGGACAAATGTAGGACAATTCGTCAATGATGCCACTAACTACTAATCCATCTATCGTTCCCCATACCTCAAGCTCTCGTGTCAAGCCTGTATCTCGCAATGTCCTTAATCCTTGGATAACGTTCCATATTCGAAGGCCCCAAGCATCCTCTTTCGTCTGAATGTCGACCTTAATAGTTGTATGTACCTCGTCTTCAAGCTTCTGATGCACCACACTGCCTTGCTTCATTGCCTTTGTTCGTATTTTCCTCCCATATTTCGACAAGGTATAAAAATATTGTAGTTCGCACCATGCCGGCGACACCAAGTCTGTGACAGAAAGCGCTTTCTTCGGTGGCGTGCGGAATCGTTCGAGAGGGGATCGCATATCAGGAAGCTGGGGGCCTGGCGGGACAGTATCTGGTGATATCTCGAGAACAGGGTGTATATCTAGAATTCGATTACCCACTAGACGCTTCAGCGTCAGTCAGATATCAAGCATGTCTTGAAGCATAGAAGATCTTACAGTCCGGGTACTCGCGCGTCTTGATTGACTTGCTGATCTGCTCCGCAACCTCCTCTGCAGCCCGGGCCGCCTGGAACAGAGGAGATCTCTCCTCCCTACCGACGATACGAGGGAGACGAAGAGCTTGTCGCGGCTCATCTTCGATGTCGTTGAGGATGGGATTGTCGTCTGCGACCTGTTGTTGTGATAGCAGCGCCTCGACTATCTGCTCTTGCTCAGGCGAGAAATCGGATCCATAGTCGCTTTCGACGTCGTAGATAGCGGCAGATGTCTCGATATCGGGGTTTATGGCAGGACTAGCCATGCCGGCGACATTATAGATCAGTTCATCCGTCGGGGTTTTGAGAATAGGGTATATTTGGTTGTCTATGACGATTACTGTGTACTAGGAGTCGCGATCGGTTACGAGTAACGCGCTTCCACGCGACCGCGATATCTCGCATCTAAACACGATTCATCCCTGATCTAGCGGTCCAATAACTAATCAAGTGTTGATATTTATATCCATGCTTTAGTTTCAAATAACACGAACAGATCACCTGTACCCACTCCACTCACCACCATCCAACCCAACATGTAATATACGGCAGCCTAGGTAGACAATGGCTGATACCTGAAACGCCCCATCATAATGCTAGCTAACCCCGCGAAAGATCGCTACCTAATCCCTCCCCATAGGCAGCAGCAACGATATATGAAAACAGCTTCTCACATCGCACTTGTACCTGCATATTCGGTTCCTCCCTTCACCGAGTCACGTGTAGCGCCCTCCTTTTAACATCTTATCGTACCTTACCATTTCTATGACCATAAAATGGCAGCTCTCACACGTACTAAATCTAAATCACTCGCCAGTCCATCTTCTTCGATAACTACACCTACACTTATACAAATCCCCCAAGCTCCCAACCTACCAATAAATCAACCAACCCTAAGCACCCTCCCCCCCGAACTACACCTCCTCATCTCCGCACACCTAACGTATCCGGACGCCCTCTCCCTGAAACACACAAACCGGCATTTCTACAATCTAGTTTACACGGGCGTAGACCTCAAGATAGAATGGTTGATTGAGCGGCGGACGTTGCATTTGGATTGTCCGCATGATAGGAAGTGCGAGCTGGGGAGTGATATGCGGTTTTGTAGGGGGAGTGTTAGGTACGTGTTCTCGGCTTTCTGTCATCTCACCCACGAGAGAAAGAAGAATTGAGGATGAGGACTAATGGATGTGGAAAAAGGCTACTGATGAAGAGACGGAGAGAGCATGGCGAGTGTGACACGGGAGAGGGCGGAAGAGGTTGCTTGGTTTTCGGGACGAGGATTTGTACGTTTAGGAGGAAGCGGATTGGGTTGTTGGAGAAGATAAGGAGTTCTATTTTGAGACTGGGAAGCGAGAATGTGTTGGTTTGGTGGATGTGTCTTGCGGTCATGGGAGCTTTGTTAGGATGGGTTTGCTTGGAGGTGCAGAAGATGCATGTCCAGCCACTACTTCTATAATGATTCGAGGAGAAAGAAGAGACGGTATGATGAGCATCGGAAAATATCTGTAAGGATCGACACTGAGAGTATATACTAGATAATGTTAATGTATAATTCAAAACATCGTTTCCTCCCATTTATCCTCCTGGGGAGACCACGGCGTATCCTTCAACTCTACCCTCTTCTTCTCCTCATTATTCCCTAACTCAGATTGCCTGTCATAGTCGGTAATGAGATGTCTAGTTCTTGTCATACCAGTCTTGGGAGGCCGGAACGACAATTGGTGACGGAACAGCCCTTGCTTGGAGCCATCTTGACGATTCGAATCTCGATGCATCTCTAATGTGACATACAGGAACAACGACGAGAACCAGGGAAAAGAAAGAACGACATTTCTTTCCATTGGAAAATGAAGGCATCCTTGTAGTATTTGGGATGAGCTCCGAGGTCAGACACGCAAGACGGTCAACGGGAATGATTAAAAGCAGCGCGCATTGTGATTGTAAAGGTTAGCCCAAAGCCTTAGAAAGGTACGAGAAAGAAGTAATAACAATATCAAGAAAGCAACTCCACGTTTTACCCCTTTGTCCAAATTTCATCCCCTCGACGCTTAAGCTTTACTGTGCTACTAGCAGATAGCGGAAGGGTGCAGCCTTATACCCGACGAGGGGGACCAAGGGTATATGGGGCTGGGTTTGCATCACAAAGTTGATGCTACTGCTAGTCTTAATACCCGAGGGGGGAAATCAGCAGGAAACGATAATATGGTCAGACGAGGCGTTTCACAGCACGGGCCGACTGGAAGCTGACAATGCTATGAAGCTAGGATAAAATCTCAGACTATCCGAGATCTGATCTTCGTATCTGTAGGAGCAACTTTACTCCTTATGATGTTGTTGTTGAATTGTTGATGGATGAAGAGGAAATTGTTGGAGAAGCGAAGCTGGCGGTGCGAAGTCGTAAAGCCGACCAACCAGAACTCAAGCACATACGCTAGCGGCTACTGGAAGATCTTAAAGACTACAGCCGCTTCACGTCTACTGCTTACCTACATATATCTAGGATTGCACACAAGTGTTTAGCTCAGGCTCTGCGGCAGCCTGCTATCTATTCCAAAGTGACAAATCCGGTACGAGATATAGGAATTGCAAGTGCAATGGCCCGCTTGCTAAACATTCCCTCGTCACACCATACACCAATTGAACAGTGACGAACTACAAGAAAAACATTCACACAACCAATGGGTCCTTCACACCAGCTATTAAGTTGGGTATAACCCTGCTTCGTTGCTCATCAACGATGCCCCTCAACCATTCGAGACGGACGTCGCTTTGAATGGTAGTCAAGTCGTCCCTGCTGGTACGACATTGTAAGCATACCTTTTCACGTGCCGTCAGCTGTAGTAATTCCTGGTGGCCAGACAGTGCCGGAAGTCATTGCGAGCGGTACACAGACTGTTGGCTTGCTGTACCGAGCGCTTCGGCTAGTAATTCGGGACCGGTGCAGGCTTCTGTAGGAGAGGATATGCGCGTGCACGGGCTGAGGATGGGTCTTGTTTTCAGCTTGGTTAATTTGGGAGGGTCCTAATACTAATACTAATACTAATACTAATAGGAACGGCTGAGCTAACAACGGCAAGGCACGCTTTGGTCGGGCTTCAATTTTGCGATCAGACGTCAAATCTGCGTTGAATATATCCAGGATGATGCTGGTACGTCGGAAAGATAGCAAATAAATCCATCGCAAATTCGCAGCTGACGGATAGTAAGGCTAAACTAAATAGCATCAAGAATTCCCGGCTGCATCACTCAGAAAACATACGAAGCAACACTCTCCGGAGTCTCCCCTGGACTTTAATGATACCCCACAGGGTGTTGGATCTTATACCTGCGCATACGAAGATCCGGTAACTTCGTTCGTACTGTGATAACACGGCAGCACCCTTGCAAGCCCCGTAAAGATAGTCCACTACTCCGTATGAAGTAGATAAACTTGCAAGTCTCCACGAGGTTGGGCGCAGTGACATCATTTGTTAGATCCTCTTGTATTTGTGCGAAGGATAATTAAATTTGTTAAGACGAAAGTCGACAATTATACGAAATCCAAAGTCTCCGACAAGAAACAACCTTGACTTTATATGCTTGAAATTATAAATACCATACTGGGGACACTGAGTTTCTGTGCGCCGGTTTCTTTATCTGCCTTCTTCCAGTGCTTAGATTTCATTGCGCAAGCCCCCTAGATTTGAGCTAGCATCTTTTGTGGCAGTTTGGCCGGGGTTTGTGGTTGATTTAAAAAAAAATTTGATGGAACCTTGATCCTAGATCCTGGGTATAGTATTCCGTTGTATTTCAAGGTTGGTATCTACGCGTTTTCTATCTTTCCACTCATCAAATCTTGCTTCCAGCGAGGTTATTCTAATTCTCAATAGTGTTATTTTCTGGGAATTCATCCGTAATGGACAGATGAGCTGCCGCGAGTCTGGATATAGGTTTTCTCCGTAGAAGGGAATGCATTCTAATTACTTCGTAGTTTCTAATCATGCCAAAACCTTAAATTTACTAGTCCCACGCGCCGCTCAAACGCACCCCCTTTTAAGCCTTTTCCGGAAAAAGGTTCGATTATCTAGAAGCTAATCAACCCCGCTGCTGCTAATAACGCCGGATTCAGGGACTCATTACTTGTCATTTTGGTTTGTCGCCTCGGTGTCGTCACTTCTTTTCCTTTCTCAATAATTATGTCTCCTCTCCAAGATCCGAAAATCTCAGAATCAATTGATCAAGTAACTCAAAACTCACAGTCGATAACAATGCCTCAGCATGTCAACATAAGTGGCAACGATGTTGCGATTAGCTTCAATAGGACCGCAGCTTTACCCCCACCTTCTCCGTTGGCCTCACATCCTACTATAAACGTGAGGAAAGACAATATGCCTGCAAATAAGCGGCCAAGTTCAAGGGACGGACAAGATTTGCGTGGGGAACCTGCTTCTAATGTTAGGTTAGATGGAGGCACCAAAGAAAGAAATAGCCTGAAGAGTGTGAGGGAGACTGACGATAGGGATACAAACGGCGGAAATGACAAAATAGACCGCATTTCATCCAATAGTGGCGGAATCAATGGAAATAATGTGACGGACTTCTTTAGTTCTGAGGTCTTTCATCTTGTTCTACGTAATCCAGCTACAGCACATCGACTGTTGAGATTTTGTCAGAGTCGAGCATGTGGGGAGAACATGGAGTTTTTGCAGAAAGTATATACATACATATGAATTGCCTCTGCCCGATTGCTAACTCCCATCCTTCAGGTCGACCAATTCAACCGCCTGCTTGATGAAGCATCGCAGTTGCTTGGCTCCATCCAATCCACTTATACCTCGGCGGATGCACCTCAACAAATAAACATGTCCAATTCACAAATAAAACGAGTACAATCCGACATTAGACACGCTTCACAGTTCACAATTCCTAGTTTGGAAAGCATTTTCTTAAGCCCGCGAGAGCATATCGAGAAACGGTTAGAGAAAGAGATATATCCTCGATTTGTCAAACATCAAGTCACAACATCTGCCACATCAGCACTGGCAGATCATAGAGAGAGGTTCCAAGGTTTGGGGGATTGCTTCTGTCTGACAGATCCAAGGTACTTAGTTCGTAATCTTCCAACTACTGAAGCTAACTCATAAGTTAGTATAGCAGATAACCCTATTTTGTATGTCTCAGATGGGTTTGTCTCCGTCACAGGTTATAACCGCAAAGACATTATTCCTCGCAACTGCCGCTTCCTGCAAGGAGAGCTCACTGATCAAAGCGCGCCTCGACGCCTCCGAACGGCCATTGATGCCTGCGAAGAAACCGTCGAGCTTCTGCTCAATTACCGCAAGAACGGCGACCCATTTTGGAATCTCCTTTACGTTTCCCCCCTACTCGACGAGCGGGGCGAAGTTGCCTTCTTCCTCGGCGGTCAGATTAACTGCTCGACCACTATACACTCTTGCAACGACGTATTACGCATTTTGAGCATAAATGACGACGAACTAGATGAAATAGACGCTAAGAATAGACCGACCAGCATACGGAGCCGAAATTCAACGCTCGATACCAGCAAAGTGAAGAGCAAATTCTTTAAAAGCTGGCGGAAGTATAGTCCCTCAAAGAGCTCTGCTGCGAAGACAGTGGTGGTTATGGATGAGGCAGGCCAGGAACCGGAATTGGTTAATAAGCTTGGCAAGATGAATTTTACGACGCAGGTGGAGGCATTTTATACTGCTTATTCAAAGGTGACTCTATTGACTATTTCGAACGGGAGAGGAGCTGACGAGTCAATTAGTACATTTGCATGGAATACCAAGCCTCCACTCAAACACTTTCCATAAAACACTACACACCCGGAATAATCGACATTCTGTGCCTCAACCTCCCCAACGGCAGCATCGCACCCATCTACAACAAAGATATTTTCAAGGTTCTGTCGGAACATACCTCTCCTTCGACTTCGTCAAGTGTTTCTAAGGAGTTCAAAAGTACAGTCAGAGAAGCGCTGCAGAAAGGTAACGCAGTGAGCGTCGAAACGGGGTTATTGACAGGATTCGCCGAGGTGAAAGGCGGGAATTGGTTTTCGGGCGATAGGGAAAAGAAATTGAAGAGGATGGAGGAAAGGTATGTTACGCACTGGACGCCACTTAAGGACGCGGAGGGGTATGTGAGATTTGTCGTTTTGAGCATTGCGCCTAAGGATTAGGTTGTCATGAGGAGTTGGGGGTTTTTTCAGGTGGGGATTGTGGGATATATATGATACCTTGGAGTTTAGATGGGTGATGGGTAATAGGGGATCATAAGAGAGAATTGAAACAGATTACGCTGAGTCCAAGGGACATGTTTCAGCAGTGAACCCTAATATGTTGCAATGGCATTTAACTGCCGCGTCAAGAAATTGGAGAATGGGTCTGACAGTTTCCCCGGCTCCTCTACATGGGGATAGTTACAGAAGTCCTTCAAAAAGATCCCGAGAATTGAATTTATTCGAAAAGTTGAATTTCGAAATGCAATCCAAGACGATCTAGTAGGTGTCACTTTGGATGGTTTTATTGTATCGCGATATTCCCTATTCTTCATCGCAGCTATTTGCACCATTGGAGCGGGGAGAAACATAGCATTTCGTTTTTTGAACTTCGTTTCAATGGACGAAGATTTCAGGTTTTTATTTCATACACTTCTTCGGGTTTGGATTTGTATGGAGTTTTCCTGTCATGAAATGTCACCTCAGATTGTGATGGGGCCCTTAAGCTGCATTATGTCTAATTTGGTTACAGGCAACCGCTAGCTCGCCCTAGCCATCACGTAAAATAGGACCCACGAAGGCACTAAGCTAGCGTCACGTGGCATCAGGATGTATGATTAGCAGAATGCTAGGCTGCAACCACATGCCATCGACCCGCTCTGTAACCTTCATATACTGCATTCCAAAATCAAACCTCTGCTCTATCTCTATTTGGTATATATCAAGAACCATGTTCTCCGCCTCCACTCCTCCCCTGCAGTCTGTGGGGTTATTTTCCATCGTGGTAGCTTTGTGCATTTCAGTAAGAGCTTCCTGTGCTTCCACGTGGAGATTACTAGCTGTAGCTAAGTGATAAAGTACACCGTTTACTCTTTAGGCGTTGCACTATACAACATCACCTTCCACCCCCTCGCGAAGATCCCAGGTCCGAAATCAAGGGGCGCTTTTCACCTGGAAAGAAACTGGGAAACATTGACGGGAAACCAAGTGTCGAATTGGAAAGCATTGCATGATCGCTATGGAGACATCGTCCGTGTATCTCCGGGAACTGTATCATTTACCAGTGCTGAAGCATGGCAAGGTGTGACCTTCCTCAATTTCGAATTGTTAAGCCGGATGTTTCACTGACTCAAGCCATTAGATATCTATGGCCAGCGTCACGGGAAGAAACCGATCCCGAAGGATCCGGATTTTTACAGTGGAAGCAGTGATGGAATTGCGGAGATCCTCTGTGTGTAACCCTGATCCTATATCTGATATTCTCCTCATTCCCAGTAGCGGCCAACGATGTGGATCACTCGAGAATCAGGCGTCTGATGAGCCATGCCTTCTCAGAGTCTGCTCTCCGTGAGCAAGAGCCTATTCTGAATTCTTACTTCGATCTGTTAATTCAGAAGCTCCATGAGAAAGTCAGTGGATCTGAGAACGGCAAAGTAAATATGGTTCACTGGTTTAATTTCACTACATTCGACCTGATTGGCGACTTGGTAAGTCCATTCTTTGAATCAGTATTTCCCGTCTCAGGTGATTGGCAACTCTTCGCTCTTTAAATAGACTTTTGTAGTCAAGTGCTATAGATCATGGTCTCAATCTCTAATACTATAGGTCCTGCTGACTCTAATACGTCGATACTTAGGCTTTTGGAGAACCTTTCGATGTCTTAAAGTCTGAAGAATACAACTTTTGGATCGCCAACGTTTTTCAGTTTATCAAATTCATAGGGCTTCAGCAAATCTTACACGACTACCCGATATTGGATATACCCATGTTGGCTATTATGACGCTGTTCTCTCGCTTCAGAACGGCAGAAGAAAAGCATCGGCGATACACTGAAGAGAAAGCATCCCGACGCCTGGACACTCAAACTAACCGACGAGACTACATGTGGTCCTACTTGCCCATCTCTCTGTTTAAGCATCGCTGACAAGTACCATTAGCTATATCCTCCGCCACAATGACGAGAAGGGAATGAGCCGAGCAGAAATCATCAAGGCATCGGGTACATTGATCATAGCCGGCAGCGAAACAACCGCTACCCTGCTAAGCGGCGCCCTGTATTATCTCCTCAAAACCCCGTCCTCACTGTCAAAACTTACTACCGAACTCCGCACTTCTTTCCCAGACCCCGCAGATATGAATTTCGTCAATCTCGCAAGGCTCTCGTATCTCAATGCTTGCCTCCAAGAAGGTTTGCGTTTATACCCCCCCGTTCCTGGTATCTTGCCACGGAAAACGCAACCCGGAGGTGCAGTCATAAATGGACATCACATCCCCGAAAACGTAAGTCTAATTCATATCAAGTTCCTCCCTTTCCTTTCCGTCCTGCTCCCGCGACCATGTAGAGTACTGAGCAAAGAGGCAGGTCTCCGTCGGCATGTCCCACTTTGCCACCTACCATTCGGCATCCAACTTCACGGACCCGGAAACGTTCGCCCCCGAGCGCTGGCTTGACGATCGACATTTTGCGTCAGACAAACGAAGTGCGCTGCAGCCATTTTCTGTTGGCCCCAGAAATTGTATCGGTCAGGTAAGTCGGGGTTCTATGATTAGGGAATAGGCACTTATCATGGAGTAGCATCTTGCAATGGCGGAGATGAGGGCTATTCTGGCGCGGATACTGTGGCACTTTGACATTAGCTTATGCGAGGAGAGCGCGCGATGGAACGAGCAGAAAGTTTTCATATTTTGGGACAAGCCGGACTTGATGGTCACACTGAAGGAAAGAAAGAACTGAGAGCAGTATGGAGATTTTTGGGTAATTGTGCGCTTTGATTTCATGATGATGAGGAATGGAAGCTGCTATGACTGAAGCTCAGTAAATAAATAAAGTAGGAAAATCTCCAAAGAACAGAAAGGTTGTGATTTGCTGCATTTTGGACGGGGCGCGAAGCGCCAAAATGATCGCATCGTCCCGCCCCATTTGCCTCAGCAGCATGTTAATCCCGAGCAGACATCTTCATTCCCTCAAACATCATATACACTGGTATTTAAATGCTATACAACGCCCTTGAACAACAGAATGCGAAACTTGAAGAAGCCGAGAGACTCATGGCCGCGGTATCGATGTCACATGATCTCATCCCCAGATATCAAGCTAAACTCTCCAGGGCGAGATGTGCATCGATGGCAGGCTCAAACTGTGTCTCGAGGAGGCCTTTGCTGCCAGTAGCGGATTACACAACACCACTAGGAGTGGGGCGGGGGGGAGCAAAGCTATGGAAGACGTGTCACCAGGGACGTTCTGAAAATATCAGTGGAGGAATTATGTCTGGCATAGGGGCGATCGCGAATTGAATGAAAGTATGCAGAGCACGGTAGGGTCCCCTCCGCCCTTACCCTCTCAACCCAACTTACATCATTTGTAGTTGGAATAAAGCTCATTCCTGACTGCGACTGGGCCAGCCTTTGAGAGCCGGGAAGAACCTTGTCACCCATCTTGGAGGTTCCCAAATATTTCCCGATGCATTTCCAGTTGCTCGTATTTGGAGAGCTTTTTTCATCCCCCCCCCCCACTGTTCCCCACACTCAACAACTCACCCACAAACGCCCAATCCACCAGATCAGCCGACAAATAGCAGTTTATGCTCTGGAAGCTTCTTTCACCCACAGCGACGTTCCGAGACCAGATACCGCAATCTAACGCGAAACTCGACGGTTCAGAAGTTACGAATTCCTGAACTCTCCTATATTACGACGAGGCAGCTCACTATGTTCCTGAAGTAATCAATGTTGTGTAAATCTCAAGAATGTCATTGAGAAGGTCCGTAAAGGCTGAGATCGAAAGATTAAGTTTCGTCCAGCCATGTTATGCCGGTCGAAAGAGCGCGATGAAATTTCGGCTGAATCCGAGACTGTGGCCAGGCTGTGTAACGCGATTTTCAATATTTCCAAGAAAGACCAGAAACCTCTGAGCTGGCTGTTTCTCACCACAGAATTGAGGTCACTGCGTCCGTTATCGGTGTTTTTGTGGCCCATGAATTTGCGACGGTTATCATCCCTCTCTCTCTGGTATATTGAGCCGATGTTCAATCCACAGGCCTTAATACAGGTAATATAGAAATCGAGATATAACTAAGTAGTGGAGATAGTCTTCCTTGAGAAGGAGGCGGGAGTTCTGATTGATAGTGGCCGTGGCAACGGCAGGTCTGCAGACAATGCTATTAAAAGATATCGTGGTCCAATTCCGAAGTCTCAGTCGAGACTGGAGAGTTGAGATGATATTTCCGAGTCAGCAATGGTGGTGCGGCGGACTCGAATGATGCGCTCGTGTTTTTCACATGCATATACGGCTACCCACATCTCATCACCTTCCAGATGGGGAAGTTTCCAGAGAACTCGAGAAACGAAAGCTCTTGAAGAATAATATACTGTATACAGTACCGTATCAATTACCCGTTCCAGTTGTTCAATCCGTTTCACAAAAAGCTTTGCAATTTCCGAAGCATGCACAGAAACCACGTTCGCTCGCCGAGCAGGGATTCTTTTATCAGCCTCGGGATTTTTGACTCTGAGGCTTCGAGCGGGAGTGGGAGGTGGCACCAAAAGGCGCATGGTCTCCCCGCAAGCAAATCTATCGCCAATCTATTTCTTCAATACGAAAACAGGCGACAGGCGCATCAATACGATGCGATGGCCCAATGGGAACCCAGTCGCACTCCACAATTGTACGATTCGTCAACCTTAAATAGCTCTCTACTCCTAGATTGGGACCTTGTCTTTTCTCCCCTATGATGTGCATTGCATTGAACCAATGGAAAAGGGAAGGTACTCAAGTTGTACCTGCGTTTTTCTTTTAACCGTTGTTTTTCTGCATCACCCCCCCTGCGCATCGCATCTGTGCCGTAACTGCCGTTCTCTCTATACGGTGTATGAGGCCAATGACAGCCCTCGAATCTTCATGTTTCTCCCTGTGATATCATTTCACTGGCGGGCTCGCCGTGGCAAGTGCAACCACTGACCATCGATGGAAGCCTCTACCATGCTTGATTGTTGTATGGGGCCTTGCAAAGAGAGAACAATGGCTAAAACGGCCTACCAGCCTCGAGTCTTCTTATTAAAACGTTGTGTCTCTCCACTTTGTGCTCCATCACACTCAGGTTTTCTTTTTCCAACTCTCAAAAGTCTTTGCTTCTTGCTTATAAACTCTTCGGAGTCACCCACATTCGCTTCTTTGCTTCACAGTCACTCGCTTTTCACATTCGCTAGCCATCATGTACGGTGTTTACTTGGGTTTGGGAGCGCTTGCTCTCAGTTCCGTCAATGCCTGGAAATACCCCGACTGCGTATGTTGCCTTTCTGCTTGAGAAATAGACTCTGTACTCACATTCTGTCACAGGAGATGGATAATTGCTACAGGAACATGATTGATACCCGCTTCACTGCTGAAGCCGGTCCATTCTGCCTGGATTTCATTTCAGGCACAACCACCGCCGCAGCCGCGATTCCAACAGACTTTAGTAATTGTGCCGGCGATATCACGGCTGTCAGCTCAGCTTGTTCTTGCATCGCATATACCCTGACCCATGAAAGCTCGCCGACGAAGACTCCCTGCACCACATCTTCGACCCCGACTGAAACTCCCGTGAGCACTCCATGTACTACGTCTACGACTCCGTCAAAGACCCACACGAGTACCCCATGTACCACGTCCTCTATCCCGGTAGAAACCTCCACGAGTACCCCGTCAGAAACCCACACGAGTACTCCCTGCACCACTTCCACCCCCTTGTCGGAAACCTCCACGAGTACTCCATGTACCACGTCCTCTATCCCGGTA